TGAATCACCCTGTTAGGTTTACATTCCACATTTTGACGTTTATGACTGATAAACAAAACCATGCACATTTAGACATCGAAAGACAAAACATAATGCTGGCAAATCAAAACAATGAACAACAAATCACAGACCACAAGAATTAAAAAAACTACATACAATCAACAAGAAAAACTTAACAAACCTAAGCAAAACAAAAACAAATAAAATAAACTGGAAACAAAAAAAATCTATGCAAGCAAAACAAAGCAAGGAACAACAAAAACGAAAGTGCAAGACGAGCCACTAATGCTTGGAACATCCAGGAAGAACATGCCAACTCCCCCGCTATCAGACCTACAATCTCAACAAGAGTTAGATTTTTCTTTACATCTATAGCCAAGAGAACACGAACCGTAGTCAGCTTAGCAACTGTACATTCACAGCATTAGATCAACTGTACATTCCTCGTCATCAACAGGCACAATAGCATCTTGATTTGATGTAACAGGCATAACATCATCCTCATCCCCTTCTTGCATGTTACTTCTAATTACTAAATTAGGTTGTTCATCTTGTACTTCTGCATATGTTTTCATCAAATTTTACATCTCTTGAAGTTATTATCTTCCTTGAATACATGTCCCATAGCTTGTAACCATTTGGGACATATCCGATCATGACAAGCTTTTGACTCTTAGCATCAAGTTTGTGACGTTTTTGTTTCGGCACCCAAGCATAAGCCTTACATCCAAAGATTTTAAGTGAACTGATGTTCGGCTTATACCCAAACCACAACTGAGCAGGTTTGACATCTTCCGAAAGAGCTTTTGTTGGACTTCGGTTTATAATATACATCCCAGTCAAAGCGGCTTCATTCCACATATACTTAGGCATTTTTGATTGGAGTAACATTGTCCTCACCTTTTCCACTAGGGTTCTGTTGTATCGTTCGGCCACTCCATTTTGTTGTGTAGAATAGGCTATGGTTTCTTCTACTTGTATTCCTTTAGATTTGTACCAATTCTTTTGTTCTTTTGATCCGTATTCCCGGCCTTGATCAATAGTGAGTTTAGAAATTGACGTTCCAAATTTAACAGTCACCATCTCGTACTCTTTGAAACAGTTGAACACATCAGACTTCTTCTTAATTGTGTATATTACTGAAAAGTGAGTAAAGTCATCAATGAATGACACAAAGTACCTTGAACCATCCCATGCTGCAGGTTCTATAGGTCCACAAACATCAGAGTGAATTCTCTCAAGAGGGCGGGTAGCTTTTGTATGGGCTTTGATGAAAGGATCACGGCAACGTTTCCCTTCCACACAAATGTCACAGAAATCGAACTTTTCTGGTTTGACATCAATTCCAGAAACCATATTCTTACTCACCAAATCTTAAAACGATGATTGACCAATGTGACCATAACGTTTGTGCCACAGTTGATTCTTCTCACTGGTACTGCTGAATACTAAGGCGTACCTCATATAAGTTTCCTCGAAGGTAACCTGTTGCTATTATTTCATTTCCATTTGAAATTAATGCTTTGTCTTTGCAGAATCTTATTTCAATTCCAGCAGCAGTCATTTTCTTCACTGAGAGCAGGTTATCTCTTAGCTCAGGAACGTGTAAAACATTTTTCAATGTTATATCAACACCTCTGTTGCTTTTTCCGTTGATTATACCAAATTTATTTGCATAAAGGGACTGATCATCTTTTGCAACTCTAATTTCGATTGGGTTTGGAAGCTTTTTGAACGAATCGAAGTACCATTTCTCGTTTACTAAATGGTCACTTGCCCCAGAATCAAGTTTAAATTTCAAAAAAGAATTACTGTTTTTTGACTCACTTGATTTATCGGCCATAAAATAAACCGATTTCGAATTTTTAACACCTTTGGCGCTTTTTCTTCAACACGATTTGTCATCTTGGTTTCTTCAAGAAGTAACCGTTCTTTAACCAGATTGTAATTTAATTTGGATTCTTCTATATTTTGCAATGTTGTGATTAGAGGATCGTATTTCTCTGGCAATGCCATAAATAGTTGCGTAAGGACATCACTTTCTTCGATGTTAGCGCCAGCCATCTTTAGATTCCTTACCAAATTTTCAAATTTCACTAGATGTTCCATCATCATTTGCCCCTCTTTCATTTGCGGATTCATAATCTGTTTCCTTACCAAGACTTGATTTACGATGGATTTCTTTGCGAATAAATTCTGGAGACTTTCCCACATTTCTTTGGCAGTTTGCTTTTCACGAATGTATCCCAAACAATCATTACTTACGAATGATACCAGCTATCATTCTTCTTAGATTCCAACAAGGCAGTTGCGTCTGTTGGTGGTAGTCCCGTTAAAACCTCCGACAAATTCAAATTTTCAAAATGAATTTTTACGCGAAATTGCTACTCATCGTAACCGCGACCGTTAAATTGCGGTATACCAAAACTTTCTTTTTGATCGCCCATAACTATTATAAATAATGTTGATAAATAAAAATAATTTATTTATAATAATTTAAAAAGAAAATTTAAGACAAGTTTGTCTATGAAAAGTTTACAAGAGAGTAAAGAAATATTCTTTTAATATTTCAAATACTAAATACATAAGTCTATGATTGCTTTTCAACAATAGGAACTATGTAATCCTAGCTTATTCTAAAATCCCTGTTTAGACAATTTCCATAGGTATTAAAACACTTCCATAATATTTTAGCCGCAAATTAATTATTGTAATTGGAATATTACTTTAAGATTAATAAAATTTTATCCAATAAATTTTACAAATTAATTTTTTTAATTAATTAGTAAATCAAAAAAGTTTAACCAAAGGCGCATTAGAAAAATATACTCTAGTTCCAGGACTCCAATATCTTATCTGGTATGCGATCAGGCACGTCCGATGATTGTGTATAACCTTCCAATGTGTCCAGTATACATTGATGACGTGTCCTATAACCGCTTTTGGTTAGTTGGCCTAAAGTAAAGAGCCGTTTGGCTGTAATCGCCGCCTCATATCTTAAATATGTTTCAATAGGTGGAATATCTAGCAACGTTTCCAGAGCCTTGGTTGAAGTACTACACATGGCACCACTTATATCCAAGCAGCATGTACGCTGAACTCCCTGTAGTATTTTGATATTGCACTTTTTGTCTAAAGTAGTCCACCAGATTATTGAAGCATAAGCTAGAATTGGTCTAATTACACTTTTATAAAGCCAATTTGTCATAGTAGGATAAAGACCCCATTTCATGCCTATAGTAGTTGGAGTAAATATCGAAAACATTAAAGCATTTGGCCCGGAAACTTTTTTTAACTGTCAGGAAGAAGGGATATACTTTTTCAACGTACTTATTTATACTCTATGTGTAGAACACAACCAACTAGCAGCATTCCTCGACAGCCGATTCTACGATTAGAATTATTCGGCTAAAGGCTTTCCGGCATTGCTGCTCCGCATCGGTGCCGGAGTTGAATTAAATCTCGGACCATGGTTCTGCACTGTTTGCCAGAACCGACTCCACCATATATCCACTCCATTAAGGTGCAACTCTTGTTTGGGCAAGTTTCATCTCAGGAACTGCTCCGGACTTAATCATCATCTTTGTCGCCCCACGCTGCTTGCGGGATTCAACAGCGTCATCGACAACAACATCGTCATCTTCTTACACTACCCCTCCTCCCTCTCCTCTGCAATCACAACAACAGTCCACCTTCTTAATTGATGATGCCACCACACGTAATATGGGTATCTGCACTAGCTCGCCTATCACCAACTACGCAACATGGCAAGCCGTAGTTTCTCTGGGATCAGACCATTTACCCATAATCGTTTGTCGGGATCGATCTATCGATTTTATCACATCTGAACGCCGTCAATACGTAAACCAAAAGAAAGCAGACTGGCACGACTTCAGAGAATTCACCGAACGCATCTTCAGTGATCTAAATTTTCCCTCCAACGTCCACCATGCAGAGTGGAAGTTCCGTGAAACGGTCATCTCAGTAGCTGCTCCCTTTATACCTGTGGTCGAATATCCGTAATGCGGCCGAACTTCCCAGCAGAAGCAGCAGATGACATCCGAAATACCAGCCCAGGTAATCCAAGACTCGCCCATCTGAACCTTGAATTCAGCATGTTGGTAAATGAGGATAAGCGGAAGAGATGGCTGGATCACTTGAAGAACTGCAACTTGTTAGGGTGTTAGTAAGTTGTGGTCTACGGTTCGATCACTCTCCAACCCGACGAAGAAAGATGACAGGGTCGCGATTAAGTTTGCAGACATCCCCATCCCTGAAGGGTGCTCGCACGCATTTGGCCGGCAATTCATTGAGCACCTAGAGAGAGACAAGGTGAAACGAAGCATTGTTCGCAAATTTCACAACCTTCCAGTCACGGACATAGCACAGCCCTTCATCCCAGCTGAAGTTGCAGAAGTCGTCAACAGCGCCAAACCATCTAAGGCGATTGGCCCCGACGGAATATCCATGCTGATGTTAAAACAACTTGTCAGTGAGCAGCCTCGTAACTCCCAAAGCCTAGGAAAACCGTTTTAAAACCTGGAAAAGACGCGACGGAGGCACTATCATACAGGCCGATATCCCTCCTATCACCGGTCTTCAGGTGATACTACTCCCTCAGCAGCTCGTTACCAGCATGGTTTGCGCAAAATTCACAGCACCAGCACAGAATTAACCGCCATTGCCACTCACAATCGTTTAATTTAAATGCAAAATACAATTTCGTAACAATATTTAAATAAGAGTGCCATTGGAAGAATGTGGTTTATTTTTGACATTTAAATATCGGATTTTTACTAAAAATCTTCTAAAAATAACAACATCCCTTCAATGGCAAGCTATGCCCATGTAGAAGGAGATTTTGAGAACAACAGCTTGTGGGTGGTGGAAACAACAGATCTAAAAGGTTGGATTATAACAGCGGTTCTTGTAAACAGCAGTCAAAGTTTATAGACTTAAATTCCTCATTGTATCCTAATAATGCAAATGATTCACATTTATTTATGATTTTTTCTTTTGTTTATTTTTATAAAAATCTTAATTGGATATTATTTTAAAAAATTATCAGGCACTAGGAAAAAACCTAAATTCATGGTAGAGGAAAGCAAGGATATTTTAATTTATAAATAAAATATAAGAAAGTAACAATAAAAATATTTTAACATAAAGTACTAGTAATAAAAATAAAAAAAAAACATTGTACATAATATATACATAAGAATGTTTAAATAGATTTAACCAACTTTATACATATGTATGCGTGCTTGGGATGATGTTTCTCTTTTTTCATTTCACTTTTTGTTGAATAAAAAATAATTATATGTAAATTTACAATATTAATGACAACAAATAACAACAATAATTATTATAATATTGCATTAGGGTTATATGTATGTAATCAATTTCAGTAAAAATTTTGAATTATTTATGTGTTATTTCTGTGTAACTCGTGTTTAATAACTTGATGCACCCAACATTGTGCGTATTTGTTCGAATGATAACCAGAAAGTAAGTGACCAAGGCGCCATACGAATCCAACAGGGCAAGAAACCTTTGTAGAGTGCAGTTAAGCCTTCTTTGTTTACAGTTTGACGTAAACAGTCCACTGAACCTTTATATAAAAGTCCTCTGAAATTTTAAAAAGAAAAATATTTCAATAAGTTTCCCAGCAAAAAATAATTTATGTAATTTTTTCCAAACGACATCTTAATCACATCTAAAAATGACATTATATATTTTTCGCATTTATAAACCAAATATTTCCTTACAAATGAAAACCAAGTTAATAGTGAGATGAGTGATGTAGATAACATATTCGAAGTATGTACATCAAGTTTTGGAATGTGTGTATGCATGTATGTATGTATGTATGTATGTATGTATGTATGTATGTATGTATGTATGTATGTATGTATGTATGTATGTATGTATGTATGTATGTATGTATGATGTATGTATGTATGTATGTATGTATGTATGTATGTATGTATGTATGTATGTATGTATGTATGTATGTATGTATGTATGTATGTATGTATGTATGTATGTATGTATGTATGTATGTATGTATGTATGTATGTATGTATGTATGTATGTATGTATGTATGTATGTATGTATGTATGTATGTATGTATGTATGTATGTATGTATGGTATGTTGTATGTATGTATGTTGTGTATGTATGTATGTATGTATGTATGTATGTATGTATGTATGTATGTATGTATGTATGTATGTATGTATGTATGTATGTATGTATGTATGTATGTATGTATGTATGTATGTATGTATGTATGTATGTATGTATGTATGTATGTATGTATGTATGTATGTATGTATGTATGTATGTATGTATGTATGTATGTATGTATGTATGTATGTATGTATGTATGTATGTTTGTATGTTGGTATGTATGTATGTATGTATGTATGTATGTATGTATGTATGTATGTATGTATGTATGTATGTATGTATGTATGTATGTATGTATGTATGTATGTATGTATGTATGTATGTATGTATGTATGTATGTATGTATGTATATATGTATGTATATTTGTATGTACTTACTTTTATTATAAATTAATGGTATGAATTTAAAATAAAAGTAACCATGGGTAATTATGTTTATCGAAAAAAAATATATAAATACACATTGGGCAAAAGATAACAGTTGCCAACTATATTGAGTTAATTATATAATAATTATATTAGAAATCCATTGTACCACATGACCCACTATATTCAAAAGTTTCAAAATTTATGTTTAGCAGGACTTTGACAAACACTTGATTTAAAAATTTTCCCTAAAGAATTGCATATTATAAAAGTTTTAGATTATCTTCAAATTGTTCTCCAATAACATTGAAATTTTCCCATTTAATCTGTTTATTGACTTAAGCCATTATCAATATAATAAAATATATTATCTGTACTTTAAGTTGTGATTGATAAACAAACTAACAAACAGGTATGTACATATGAACTATGTATGTACGATAACACTCAATCAACTACAATAATATTCTGCGAAAATAAACAAACGTTAAAAATAGAATGGCACAGGAGAAAATTAAAACATTTTGTAGAATTAGAACTATGCAACAGTTAATTATCAACAATAACAATCTCAAGAGAAGTTGTACACATTAACAGTCAATCAATTTAGATTAGTATTAAGAGAAAATAAGAAACGTGCCTCCAAATCATATTATGGATGTTGTTTGTGCAAAATATTATGAATATAACAATGTTATAGTTTTGTTTGTGTTCAACTGTGCTAATCTTATCAAGTTGTTTAAATCAACAACATCCAAAAATATGAGACCACTACATCAAATATGTATAGTGTGATATTAGTAAGATTTTGTTAATGATAATGTTTAACAAATGATTTAAAATTTATTTTCAAAATATTTGAAATTATAATTTTAAAGTGAAATATGTATATTTATGATGTATGTATGTGCAGTTGTGCATCTAATTAGAAATTGTATAGCAAAAAAAGGAGTTTTAAAAAGTATAATATGGATTAGTATTAAAATTTTACTTAAATAAAATCCATATATGTAATTTTGATACATACCTTCCTTTATCATCGGTAGGTTGATTCATGATACGTGTTTTTACCACGTCAGCTGGAGTACCCATAATAGCTGCTACAAAACCGGCACATATAGAGGCCAGAACATGAACAGTATGACAATCCGGCATATGCAATTTATTCATAATCATATGTTTAATAGTATCGTAGGTTGTTAAATCACCTATTAAACAAAGAATAAACAATTATTTTAATTAGTGCTAAAATAAGTATTTTATATAATTGCCATTAGATTCCTACCCAAGTTTACTAAAGCTGCACGCTGTACATTTGGTATGCTACCTTTCCACAGTCCTTTTATACCACCCCTTCTTATGATCTCTTTTAAAGCATGAGCTGCTCCATGAACACGTGGAGCTTCTCCCATTAAACGTCTTTTACCCTCCATTTGTATTTGTACTTTAACTAAATCGGCTGGTGAGGCCAACCATTGTGCTAAGCCGCCAGAGAAAACGCCACACAGAGCAGATTTGTATAGTGGTAGTGGTATATTACTGCCATTTTCACTTTTTGCCATTTCTTTGCGCATAAAGTCATAAGTACATATTCTTACACCACTAAAATTAAAGTATTTTAGAATAATAATATAAAAATATAAAAAATAATTAGTTTTTACCTGTAAACGATGTGTCTGTAAAGGGCAGGAGTAACACCTTGCCATAGTTTGAGCGTTCCCTCCTCACGGGCAATGCCAACTGCAGTAGCAAACATTCCTCGATATTGAACCTAAAATAGAAAATAATTTTGAATATATATACCCTCAAACCTCGTTTTATGCGTATTTATTTTATGCGAATTTGAATTAGTGCGGTTTCAAAATTCTAAAATTTTTCTTTGCAAAAATAATTTTGAGAAAAATGTTGGTCCACATACATCGAAAAAAATTTCTCAACAAAGTACTACTACTGATTTTTTACCAATTCCGATTCGGATATATAAAGTATTGTTGAAATCCTTTGTACACGAAGAAATATTATTTTTTATTTTTAAGAAATTTTGTACATATACTTCATTATTTGGAATTTGTATTGTGTTATTATTTGTTACCTTTATTTTTCATCATTTTTTAATAGTTTCAGTAGAGAATAAATTTTTTTTTGATTTTTTTACGCGATTTTGTTTGACTTTTAAGGGAATAATTTGAAATAGTGCGCTTTTTTATTAAAAACCCAATTACTATATTTTGTATGGAGATAGTGTATCGTTTTGTGCGAATTCGAATTATGCGTTTTTCTGCGAAACGAATTAACCGCATAAATCGAGGTTTGAGTGTATACATACGTATCTTGAGATTTAATTAAAGTTTTTTTTTAATCTGCAGACAGGCGCAATTTTATATTTTTTAGAGAAATTTATATACAAATAATTCTGTTATAAAACCTCAATTATGTAATAACTTAAATTCGAAAAATCAAAATTTTTTTAAGATCACGGAACAAAGAAAACTTGTATTAGTTCAATATTTTCTTATAATATATTTTTTTCTTATAAGTTATTTAAAAAAATTCAAATAAATACCTCAAAACAATGAAAATCCGTTTTCAAATCATATATGATATTTATATTAAAATCAGAGATATATTTGCAACTAAAGGGACATAACACAAAAAAAAAAAACCTATATACCGTCACCTGAAACGCAGACGACCCCAACTAACAACTTTTAAATTTTCTAAAAATAGTTTTAAATTCATGAAAATTTTAAAATTGTTCCTAACTTCGAAGTTGGAAATGTAAGGTGTTGACTTTTAATGAAGGAAATCACCGTGTGGAGTTGCATCTTCTTAAGCATAAGCCTTCTTAACCTATACTAAGGTGATGGCTTTAGAATGGTTTACAGGGTAAGGGATCAAATTTGCATATATAGAACATTTCTCTCAAGAAATAAGTTTTTATAAACAATTTTTAATTACATTTTTATGAAAATTTGACTTTAAACTATCACTTAAGTGGGTTATATGAAACTTTAAGCTCAACGACTAAAAACAAGTATATGTATATATGTTTTTGAGAAATTATTATATTAACATAATCCGCATTGGATTTGTCCTTTCAACATATTATTTTGCTGCCAGATTTATTTGGGAAAATATTGGATATGATGGTTTTTGTTGTTGTAATTGTAATAACGTACGTAACGGTAAATATAAATTTAATATCTTCTAATAGTAATTAGAAACATCCTCACCTGTGATTTTGCTGTATTTTTACTTCCGCTAACTGCATGATGAGCACTTGCAGCAGCCTCACCCTGTATTTGTAGTCTTGTCTTTGTAAGATCCAATGGATATGTAACTAATTCAGCATTTGATGCAGCCACAACAGATACAATATAGGTACATGCAAAACTATCAGCATAGTCATACTTTACGGGACGCATTTGATTACGGGTAACTGTAGCATTGTCTACATTTGCTGCTGTCGCTCCGGAGGCGGTACTGGTAGTGGCGTTTGTTGAAGCCTCAGCTGCTGACGATATTGTTGCAGCTGCAGCCGTTGCAGCCTGTTTTTGACTTTGCATGGTTATGAAATATTTTTGTTCGAAAGTTCACGTTGACGATCTTGGCGTATAATACAAAATATCACAAAAAAAATTGTTCTTTTCTCTTTGGCTGATTATTGTTAAAAATAACTTAACAACAAACAAAAATCACTTGTTGGAAATGTACAATGAATGGCGCAGTGGCTGGTACTTGCATATGATTAAAAATAAAAAATGTGAGCAATAAATAAAAAATAAATAAAACTAAAACAGTGTAGATGTAAAGACGCCAAGTATTGAATAATAATTTGTTTAAAAATGATTTCGATTCATCACAAATTGTCACAACCTTAAAAAATAGCAAAACAATTTCATTAAAACAAATTCTACTCTGTCCGTCCAACACTTTATAGTTTGTTCAATTTGTCCAGCAAAACTCACATGCCCTCAATCAACAAAACTTGCAGTAGTTTAATGGAATTCCTTCAATTAATTTTTAAGCTTTTGTCTGTCGACTGCACAACAACCAATAACTTTCGCCTTCTAACTAGTTGTTGCTTATAATGGGGCCAATATCACAACTCCTTCCACATCAGTTTTTGCGTAGAAATTTAACTTTTATTATTATTTTTATATTTTTATTCACTTCACTTTTATTGTGTCGCCATCCCTTTTACATAACTTTTTATTTTTGGGAATTTTCTTTAACTATTTTGTAGCTAACAAAATAAATAAATGTTCGTATTTTATATGTTTTTGTTCTGATATTTTTAAGATTTTCTTATTCCTCTAACGTCTTCGATGTTGTTTAATCGAATGTGAGTTTTTTAATTTGCACATTTTATTGTATTTATTTGATTTTGGGTTAAATTGAGTGAGTGAGCCTTATCAATACATTTTTTTGTTTTTATAAAATCAAAAAACAATGCAATAAAAAACAATAACAATAATAAATTGGTCCAATTGGAAAAACAAAAACAAATAAGCCGACAGTCAGCTGATTTATTTAAATGACACAGAGTAGTATTATCAACTTACAGCTTTCTACATTTCTTTTAAGTGCTTTTTTACAATTTGAGAAGCGATTGTGTTTTATGGCAATACCATTTTGATTTGTAACTCCTGATTTCAATGTTAGTTTCGAATTTTTCGCCTTTAAAAAATCTATAAAATCGTTTGATTCTTTTTTACGCATTAAATTAACAGCAACAAAGTTTATATATATTTCCAATAATTTTCGTGTTAAAATAAAAACATTTTTATATCATATTTTTTTATTTAACAAGATACCTGATACCTTGGTTTATATAATTTATAAAAGTGTATATATTAATATATTTAATTAATAAACATTGAAACAGACAAGAAGAAGTCTGGCGAATTTTTTATATACATATGAAGTCAGTTTTATAAAAAGCATGTTAGATATATTGATATACCATAATAATGGTTTAACTGCCTAGACATAAAATTTCATTACCAAAAACGAAACAAAAACTGTTGAAATAGACTTCTCTTATAAATTCGCTATGCTTTATAGGTATACATATAAAAATATTGAATTCACAAAACAGACAAGATAAATATAGACAAAGTAGAACGTATTTACCAATTTTTAATAAGTACGTAGAATTTGACGATTTTGGTATACATATGAATGCAAATCTCTAAATAATTCCTATATAGACGTTTCGTATGTTATATCTCTTTGATCCGACAAAACAAAATCTATAGTGAATATTTTTTTATATAATTATTTTTGACAATAAAATTTAAAAAATTCCTTCCTGTCATGATTTAAATAATATATTTTACCAAATAATAATATGTATTACCAAATAATTTTTCGGACTACCTACTAAAATTTTCTTCTTCTTTTTAATACTTATTCAAAAATCTCTCTGGAAAATAATAACATTTAATATGCAACACTGAATAAAAAGTGAAAAAATAATGACAGTTTATATTTTTTGTTGAATTTGTTACTTATCTGTGGCGAAATTTTCTTGAAAAATTTTTTGCAATTTATAAATTTCCCAAGAAAAGTAATTTAAATATTATATTTAAATAACCAAAAGACAAATACTGTAAAGACTATTTAAAAATATAGAAAGCAAATCAAGTAAGTAAAATAAAAGAAAACTAAAAGCCCAAATGCAAAAAATGCCATTTGTTGATTTTGATAGAAAGAGAAAGGAGAAAAGAGATTACAAGGCATCTGCAAAATAACAACAACTGCACATCTTTTAAGCGTACATACACAAAAAAAGAAATCATACAAAAATAATTTTTTAATTTATTTATTCAAAGGATCTCATCATGGGAGTACCAAAATTTTTCCGCTATATAAGTGAACGCTATCCCTGCCTTAGTGAATTGGCTAGAGAACAATGCGTAAGTTTTGTGATAGAATTGACATTTAGAAGTGGCTTAAATCTTTTATTTGTGGTTTAAACTTTTATTTGTTAAACCTAAACCTTTATTTGTTATAGATTCCTGATTTTGATAATTTATACTTGGATATGAATGGCATCATCCACAACTGTTCACATCCAGATGATTCTAATATTCATTTCAACATTACAGAGGAGGAAATGTTTAAGGATATTTTTAATTACATCGACAAGTTGTTCTTTTTGATAAAACCTCAAAAATTATTTTTTATGGCAATTGATGGCGTTGCACCACGTGCTAAAATGAATCAACAACGTAGTCGCCGTTTCCGTTCAGCAAAGGAGGCAGAAACTCTTGAAAAGTTGGCCAATAGCCGTGGTGAAGTGAGAGAACACGAGCGATTCGATAGTAATTGCATTACTCCTGGTACGGAATTCATGGATCGCTTACATGAGGGTTTGCGTTATTTTATTAAAAGTAAGATTAGTGCTGATCCTCTTTGGCAAAAGTGTCGTGTTATACTCAGTGGTCATAATGTAAGTAATAGGGTTTTGAAAAACAATCTCGTTAAAATATTTTATTTATGTACTGTAAAATTTCAATTAATGAAGTGATTAAGTTTAACTCGGATTTCAACCACATGACAATATATTATTTGCTACTAACTTTTATCAAAAATTTCGAAAAACAGCAATTGGTTTTACATTTCAAGTCTTGAACAATATTTTTCTTGTTCGAGTTTTTTATTTAAATTAGTAATAATTTATAGTCAAGCCTCCGATCTAATAGTCCAACCCTTACTGAAACTATTAGAAAGACTTGTGCAATTTCACTCAAAATGCATACATATAGGTACATTTTTATTTTTTTTCTAACCTTTATATATATGAGGTCAGTACCACATATCCCTTTGTAAAAACATTAGGTATGCTTATTTCTTTTTTAGTTTTAATATAATAAAACTATAATGATTTTCAATAGAAATTTTAAAATTATTTTTATTAATAGTCTCCTGGAGAAGGTGAACATAAAATAATGGATTATATACGCTATTTAAAATCTCAAAGTGATTTCAATCCAAACACTCGTCACTGCCTCTACGGTCTCGATGCTGATTTAATTATATTGGGTCTTTGCACCCACGAACTCCATTTTGTTGTGCTTCGCGAAGAAGTTAAATTTGGCAAGAAAAGTAAGAAGGCATCAGTTGAAGAGACACGATTTTTCTTGTTACATTTGGGTTTATTGCGTGAATATTTGGAATTGGAATTTAATGAGATAAAACAACAAGACCCGAACTTCGATATTGCCAAATTAATAGATGACTGGGTATTAATGGGATTTCTAGTGGGAAATGATTTTATACCGCATCTACCATGTTTGCATATTTCATCTAATGCTTTGCCCTTGTTATATAAAACATATAAAAAGGTTTACAGTAGCCTGGGTGGTAAGTTCTAAGGACTAAAAGTATGGATTTAAAATATTTCACTGAATTATGTTGTTTTAGGCAATATTAATGAAAACGGCAAGCTGAATTTGGAGCGTTTAGAAAAATACTTTGCAGCTTTAGCCGAAATAGAATTTGAAATATTTCAAGAAAATCATGCTGATCTCAAATATTTTGAAGCTAAACAATCAAAGGTGAATAGCGAAATATTTATGGATTTATTCATTTTTAAATAAAATCTAATTTTAACTAGAATGGCGTTGATGAAGCTTTTGACTTTGATGTGACTGAAATTAATAATGAAAATACTGATAACGATTTGGCAGCTTTGATTGAAAGCAGTAGACAGGTATATTTATGACCAACCACTCAAAAAGTATATGTAATAAATATACATCATATCATATTCAATTTTAGTTCCTTGAAGATGACGATGAAGATTTGTCAGATAATGAGCAACACATAAATGATGAATTTGAAAATTACAAACGTAATTATTATATGAATAAATTGAATAAGGATAATTCCAACAGGTAAGTAGATATTTGATTTATTTCAAACAATCTAAATATAAACTTATTGTATGAATTGATACAAATTAGTTCAAATGCAATATTTAAACAATCCCTACGTTTTATCCTAAATCAAATTCGAAAAACTTAAAAGTAATAAGCTAACAAATAAGTTATGATATATGATTAACATGTCTTAAATTGCTTTAGTGAACATACAAGAGAACAGGCAATTTGTTATATAACAGCGTTACAGTGGATATTAGACTATTATTATCGTGGTGTCCAATCATGGGATTGGTACTATCCTCACCATTATGCTCCCTTTATAAGCGATTTAAAAGGCTTCCAAGATTATGAAATCAAATTTAATATGGGTAAACCATTTTTACCATTTCAACAGGTGTGTTTAACAATAACTTACTATTTGTATCTCTCCTGAAACTCTTTCTTTCCTTTTTAAAGTTATTGGCAGTGCTGCCAGCCGCTAGTAAGACTCTATTGCCAGCTGCATATAGAGATTTAATGACCAGCGCTAGCAGTGAATTGATTGATTATTATCCTGAAGATTTCCAAACAGATCTTAATGGCAAGCAACATGAATGGGAGGCTGTTGTTCTTATACCTTTTATAGACGAAGTACTATCTCCAAAAATAATTTACATAGAATTTTATTCAATTATATTATTTCTATGAATTTAGAAAATATTATTAGATGCCATGGCAGCATGCGATCAAAATTTGACTCCTAGCGAACGAAAACGTAATCAACACGGTCCCATGTTGCAGTACGATTATCATCCTGAATCTCAAGGACAAGTTCCAGGCATATATTCCCTAAAAGCATTGTATAGTGTTTTTTGTACAGAAAAACCATTTTGGTCACAAGATATTTTAGTATCTCCCCAAAAGACTGTCTGTGTCGAACTGCCTAATGCCGCTCGCACAGTATTTTTCCCAGGTTTTCCCACGATGAAACATTTAAATTATAAAGTTTGTATTTCTATGATAAAACTAATTATTCAAATTAATAATTATCGTTTTATTGCAGTTTGAAATCAAAAACGCTCGTGTAAAAGTTTTTGACTATCCTAGTCGTAATGAAAACATGATTCTTCAACCGGAAAGTCGCAAAAATTTGGACGATGTTTATACGGTAGCTGAGAAATATCTTAATCAATTAATTTTTATTGGCTGGCCTCACTTGGTTAAAGCTAAAGTTGTAGGAATATCAAATAAAGAAAAATACATAGATATTGATGGCATTAAGGATCTGGAACCAAAAATATTCGATTTTCACGTGAAAACAGCCCAAGAACAGTTGAGTATTTGTATATTTGTTTGTAATAAATTACTAATGCAAGAAATATTTATTCTTTAGTATATCAACACGTATGGGCATTGAATTTCCAGATTATTCTGTTATGGTTCATGTACGAACCTACATAGGTTCTTCGTATGTATATGGAAGCCAAGGAAAAGTTACAATTAACGAAGTGTGGAGTCAATCCACTACAGTCTATCCTGCACAGGGTGTTGTCTCTCAGATTGCTGTTCACAATTCCTCGACAAACCAACACAAGAAGATTGAACAATTGTTTCCTGAAAATAGCAGAATATTTTTTGTGGGTAATCCTTATTTTGGCAGTGAAGGTGTAGTAATGAATCCCATGTTGGTTTATGAATGTGGCAGATTAAAAGGCAAGAGATAAAGGATTCTTTTATTCTTACTTAAACTTCTAATTAAAAACTTTTATTTTTCCTTAATTTTAGTAAATATTACCGTTTTACCGGAACCGGACTTTTCCGAAGCGAAATATGTACAAAATCAGTTAGAAAGAGACTACATTAATTCGTATCAAGCAGCTGCTCAAATTGGTATACATGTAAAAACTTTGGCCCGCATTACGGGCTCTTTGTTAGTGGTTAAAGGTGCTCGACGTCCTAAAGCAGATCTTCCCGAAAATTTGTCAAAATTAAATATCGGCCTACAATTTAAATATATTAAACAACAAGAAGAACTGGCTGGTTATGCTAGACGCGTTGATAATCAGTGGCTTCTATCTTCTAAAGCCATTGATCTTATACAATTATATGTCGCAAGATTTCCCGTTGTGATCGAATATTTAAGTAAAGCCTCAGATCGCGCAGAATTAATTTTCGAACAGGATCTATTTCCCGAGGATGTCGGTGAAAAGAAAGTGGAAGAAATAGTAGCTTGGCTAAAAGAGCAAGATCACATTAAAGCTGAAAGGGTAGCTTGTGGATCAAAGACTATGGAAAAAGAATCTGTAGAGAAAATTTTAGAAGCCATTGAGCAATTAAAGGTTTGTTTTATAATACGCTACAAGCTAATTTTATTTATTACTTCTTATACCACCATTGTAGTTTTTGACGGTCTAACATATTATAACATATTTCTTATTTTCATTGAATTCTTAGACTCTACCGGTTAAAACTGTTAAACTTCAAGTGAAGCCCCATCTGTTGCTTAAGCCAGACGTCAGTTTGCCGGATGTATACAAAGCCAAAAAATCAATTAAACTTTTTGATCGGGTAGTTATTGTTAAAACTACTTACATGGTAAATAATGTGTTTATAACAAATACTTGATAAATAATGTTTGTCTTGTGAATTCAAGGTCCCTCTTGGTTATAAAGGTACTGTTGTTGGAATTTATCCAGTAAGTGATCCAAACCCTGTACGTTTGGAATGTGTTAAAGCTGTGGACAATTTCTATGAAGTTCTCTTCGATAAACACATACCAAATGGTAATGATATTCATGGCGTTGCCCCACAACGTGTATACAAAGTACCAGAATCTTCCGTCCTTTTAATATTTACACAAGGTAATTTTCATTTTAAACCTTATTACTACAGTTCTATTCCTAAATTTAAAATGTGTACTCTCAATTGTAATTGTCAAATCAATTAGAAGACAAGAATGTGCCTACTAAATCCTGGAGACAGAGTACGATTCCAAATACAGTAAACTCTGTTAACAGCAATGATTCAATTGACACGAAAGCAGATTCAAATCCACAAACTCAAGTCATACAAAAAGGCAGTGATGATTTTTGGATGCCTGCTGTAAATACAAAACAGAAACATACAAATACAATAAAAATCATGCAAAATCCCAATCAAACGCAATCAAATTCATCATACAATAGCACTCAATCACAACAACAGCAAACGGCGGCCGCGGCTGAATCGCAGCAGTGCAATAATGATGGTACTCAACTTTTGAAGTCGCTTTTGGGTTTATCCGCTAATCAAGCTCAAATTATGCCCGGACCATCTGTTACAGCTAAAGTAAGCCTATTTCATTCATTCTTGTAAACATAAGATTTTTTGCTTAATTTAAGTTTAATCTGCCACAGCCACAATTGCCGCAACCTCCCACAAGTTGGCGTACCGATGCCCAAAAAATGCCATTACATAATTTCCCTCGCATGACTGTTCCACAACATCCATCAATATCATCGAATGCACCATTAGCTGTAATCGGAGGCAATATTGTTCCATTGCCCACTACTCAACAAATAATGCCCCAATATCAACAGCTACAATTCCAACAAGGAAGTCATACAGCTCAGCAATCTCCTAAATACCAACAATTGCCACAACAGCAGCAGCAACAAAATTTTAAAATGTCACAAGACAAAATATTCAGCTTAAACAGTTTAAATCAAAAGGGTGCATTTATACCGCTACAAGTTTCCCGCGGAGTTAATAGTTTCTCAAACAACACCCAAGCGGCTAGCACTTCTACGAATAAGCAAAATGATTTAACATCAAATAAAGATGTTATCGTTCAAAATGTAAATATATTTATTTTTGTCCTTTGTAAAATCTATAATTCCACTTTGTATTATTTTAGTTGAATGAATTGAACAGGAGCAACGATGGAAATAATATAAAGCAACAAAGTGCTGATATGAAGGTAATTTTATTCAAATATTTTTATATTTTAGTAGTAGATGGGTATCTAATGGAATGAAAAATGACACTAATTTCGAGAAGACGATACGAAAGTAACCACTGAAGACTCTAAGAAAAGTTCAATGGTAGAAAGTGTAGTCGATATTGAATCCTACTTTAAGCTATGAAATTACTTTAGTATTTTTTATAAATTTAACCTTTATTAAATTAAAGGTTTGGATGTTTTAGCGCGTTAAATATTAAATTAACTTAAACTTAAATTTGAAATCCCATAAATAAAATTTTATAATTTATTTCAGCCTTCTTATGGACGCAAGAAACCGCCACGTACTCCAAAAATTGGCGCTAGATTTGATAATGCACAATAAACATGAAATGGATTCAATTAAAATCATCGTCATTATTGTTTTCGACGTCGGTAATAAATAAGTTTAATTTATTTTACTTTGGTTTTTATTAAATTTTACCAATTTTTGGCATCTGTATACTTAAGCTATTTTAATGTTAAATGAAACTTATAATTTTTAAGTTAAGAAAAACAAAGGTAAATAAATCCATTGTAAAAAATAAAACTTAATAATGTTTATGGTATATTTCTTACAAAAAAGCAAATAAAAAGTTAATGGTATAGCTTGTGGACATCATAAGATTAAGTTCACAAAACAACTAGATGTTGTAAACCATAATTAAAAAATATTTAATGTTGTGTTATAGCCGAGACAACAAAACATTTTGTCTGTTGTGAACCATATTTGGGGCCTAAACTAAAATTAAAAAAAAAAAAAAACACACACACACCGGAAATAGTAGACATTTTGAAAAGTAGTTTATAATCATGTATTTATTGTCATCGTTGTAGAGATAAAAAGGATTTGTATTTTATTTATCATCTGCAAGATTTCTTATGTTTTAAAATATCAATTTGACTTAAGAATAATTCAATGGAACATGTGGGACACTTATATTTTATTTTGTTCTTACTGCTGCTACCGCTGCTGTTTTTATGGGATGATGTTGACAATGTTTCATCCGCATTTTTTTGGTAATATCTTTGACGTTTTGTACAATCTATGTGTATAAAAGGCGAAACAAATATGTAAGTTTTAATAACTTATTTAAGCAAATAACTTAACGATAAAATATACTCACTTGTTTTATGCAATAATTTTTCAATAACATTAAACTCCATTTCATAGTCACAATAGTTACAGGTCCACATATGTGTACTCAATTCTAAATCCATATTTAGACACCATTGCTGTTCCTGCAGGCTGAAGAAATGCAATTATCATTTAAGATTTCTTCTTATACAATCTTATAAATATTACTATATAAAACTTACCAATTATAAACTACATTTTCGGAAATATTTATGCCACCTTTCTCCAAATTTATTGTTATTTCATAATCCTTATCAAATGGATTAGTTTTGAATTTTTCCTCCACATCTGCTGGAGTTTCATGATTGTATATATTTTTTAAATCTGCCGGCAGTAGTCGTTTAATGGTATAAGGAACATTGGCACTCATAAGCTCAATTAATTTATGCCACAAATCCTCTTCAGTGTATGTATTTGATTTAGATGACGACTTTCGATTTAACTGGTTTTCTACATTTAGTTCTAAGTCTTTAAATAAACAAAATATTGGGAACAAACGAAAAATCTATATTAAATGTTTTTATAGTTACCAGTTAATTTATCCATTAACAGTTTATTCCATAATCTACGCAATTTAATGGCCCTTTGTAATAATTCACAGCCTGCTTCTGGTGTGGGAAATTCCAAACACAACCAAGAGTCACAAATTAAACGAGTAATGGAAGCATTCGTATCGATACTATAAGAAAATAAAAGCAAACATTGGGCAGCTGGCATACGAATGCAATTCATCAAATAGGGTTTGGCTGTCTCTAATAAATTTCTAATAAAAAAAAAACAAACAAATTAACAGAAATAAACATTGTCCTACTAACTTACTGATAACATAAAACTTGATGCCTTTCACTTAATACTTGTTTGGGTGTATAATACGCAGGTTTATCCAAAATATCACTGTCATTCAATTTAAGAATATCAAAAGCTTTAGCAAAATATGAATTAGGATGTATAGATATGAAAGGCTTTAAAAAAGTATGAAAAAATTGCTGAGTTCCACCCTTGCAGTAATTAAATTCATCGGAAATGGCTATTTGTGGATAAAAGCCGCTAACTATAATAAGTTTTAATAAAAGAACATCACGCAACTTATCCGTTTTGGATGAGTTAAGTAAAACCTAAAGAATGTGAAAACAAATATAGGAAAATAGATACATATCATTACATCAAAATATTTACCTCAAGTTTTGCACTATCGTTATAGAGACGAAAATCTACATCACGTATATCATCTGCAGCATCTTCAAAATCATCTTCGCCATCATCACCTGCATGATGTTTTAGTAGCTTGCGTTTTCGTGGTTCTTGATATTTCTGTTTGCGCTTGATTGCTTTTAACATGCGCACTTCACCATGGCGTCGGCCTCTTTCCGATCTTGAGAGCTCTTCAGTTGCTTTACTTGTAGTCATATTACAAGACTCCAAAATATTTTGGAATTGATTTCGCAATTTGGTAATTTCATAAAATCTGGAATAAAACAAATTAAAATTTTATGTTAAAAAACAATCTTTTAAGGTTTATAAGATTATCGAACTACTCTCGAATTTCGAAGATACATATCTTAAAATCTACTAAAAATATTTTAAAATTCATGACCAGTTTTGAAATATAGCATAAAATATATCAAAGATGAAAGGAGATATAACAGAGGTTAAACCTTTATTTTAACACATTGTATTTTCAGATGACGCCACAAATTGTATAAATAAAGATGTGTTCGCGCTGTTATAACGTCTCAAAAATTGCAAAAAACGGCAGTTTTTACATTTAAAGGACACGATATCTTGATCTGATAGAGACATTTTTAGACCGGTTGTTGTTTTTTTTTAATTATTAGTAATTTACCTTTGTTCTTCTATGCCTAATTTATGGCACCATTTGCGAGAATTTTCTCTTTCCCATTTGATTTGTAACCATTCGTGATAGGCGCGCATTAAGGTAAAAACATCTCCTTGGTCCGATTCTAATTCGGAACGAGCTTCCTAAATTGTAATAAAAAAATCAGAATATATTTAGTTTTTTACATAAAATAAGATTGACCAACTTACTTCACATCTGGGGTCAGTATAGGCACGATTAGTAAATGGATTTTGAACACTCATAACTGCGGCCAAAGTTAATATCTTTTCTACATCTGGAAAAACGCATCCCATTAATAACATTTTTCCAATAGAAATTTCAACAGGTAAATTTGAAAGAGATTTTCCCAAAGCTGTTATTTTTTCATCAGGAGTTAAGGCATTCTGGTATTGAAAAAAGTTACAATTAAATATTTAAACTATTAGAAATGAAACTTGGATAAGATTTACATGTTGTTTTAAACCCAATATAGTTTGTTCAATGTTCTCCTCTTCGGGAGATTCTATAAAAGGAAATTGTCGAACATTTGGCAAACCCATTGATATCATTTGCAGCAGTATGGTATCAAGTGGTACACGAAATATTTCTGGCGTTGGATATGCCTCAAATGCGGCATATTGTTTTTCCGAAAACAAACGAAAGCAAGTCTATAAATTTTAAATTATAATTATATGAAATTAACTTAAAAGTTTATCAAATAATTACTCCTGGTCCTGTACGTCCAGCACGTCCTTTTCGCTGTTCAGCGGAGGATTTTGATACCCAAAACTCTTTAAGTCTCTGACCTTTACAGGAAGCATCATAAGACATTTCTTTAACTTTGCCAGAATCTATGACAAAACGTATACCATCTACGGTTAAAGATGTTTCAGCAATATTTGTCGATACTATACATTTACGCATTCCCTCGGGAGCATAGTCAAATACCTGCAGAGATATGTTATTTTATTAGCGCTATCAAAGTCGAGACGACAAAATTTACCTTATCTTGATCAGCTAAAGACAGACCACTGTGTAGAGGTAAAATAATCCAATGTGATTGTTGTTCTGCATATTCTTTGGCTGCATCACAAACTGTAGTGATTTCATTTACTCCACTGACAAATATTAAAACATCACCCCGTTCATTTGCTAAAGATTAGCAGTTTTATAAATGTATAAAAAATTTGTCAAACTATAAATTTCGTTTTATTACATACGTAAATACTTTTGATCAATTAAATTTAGTACTTGAACAAATGGTGCTGGATCTAAGCGACTGGAAGTTTGTTGTGAACGTGATGAACCTTTGCCTTGCAGTTCTAAAGCTGGCGGTGGCATAAATAACGTTTTGATGGGATACAGTCTTCCTGGAACTTGTAAAAGTTTAGCACCTTCTTCTTGAAAATAATTATGAAATAATTCAACATTTATAGTAGCCGACATAAGAATCAGCTTTAAGTCTGGTTTAGCACGCAAAAGACATTTAGTTACACCTAACAGGAAGTCGCCAAAGAGATTTCGTTCATGAATTTCATCGAGTATTAAAACATCATATTGGTCGAGATTAGTTTCAAGAGCCAGCTGTCGTTTTTAAAAAAAGATTGAGATTGTAAATATGAAGCTGGTAATTTTAAATTAAATTTAAATATACTTCTACATTGTACATATAAACAAAAACTTTCGCGTAAATAATTATATTATAACATATGTATGTATTTATATAGGATTATTAAAAATTACCTGTCTAAGGAGTAAACCTTCTGTGATGAAAAGGATATTTGTATGCATGGTTTTATTTTTTTCAAATCTTATTTGGAATCCAACCCTAGAACCATAGTCCTCTAACATTTCATGAGCAACTCGTTTTGATAGAGAAACGCAAGCTAGACGCCTTGGTTGTGTACACGCTAAAGTAAAATAAAATTAATTTTTTCCAATTTAATTTCTATCTTGACTTACCAATACTTTTATAACCAAATTGATATAAATATTGAGGCACTTGAGTCGATTTACCACATCCAGTGTCACCGGCAATTATTAAAACTCGTGTCTCCTCCAGTGAGCAGCGTAAGGATTTCTTAAATTTCCATATTGGTAGAGATTTTTGGCTCTTTCTTAATTTTTTAATTTTAGCAAATCTTTCTTTTTGTTTAAAATCCAAATATATAACAATAATTTCTTGAAATTGTTTTATTCTTAACGGAGTCACATTAGATTCTCCTGAATAATGGCGGTGTTCCAAAGTGGCCTTATTTGCTTTACCTTCATCATTTAATTGCAAACTTATACATTTCAATTTGTGACTGGGTGTATTATCACTATATTTATCTTCTTCTAAGGGAGAAGCTAATATGGGTTGGCCCAAATTCTTGAGCATTGTTTCATATTTGTTGACAAATTTCCAGAAATCTACGCGATCTTCTATTATGGTCATACGTTGATCACGGCCTACAAGTAATGGCTCAAATGACGATTTGTAGTCGCAAAATGAGAAATTGATTAAATTAGTTTCATCCTGAAAGGATTTATTGTATTTTGTGTGATTTTTTTCCATTTTAATTCAATGAACAAAAAATGTTTATGCGAGAGATTTGTTTGTTTACAAAACAAAAGTCAGCTGGCTGCAATTTTTTTTGCACTCTTTTTTTTTTCAATTTCAACTCACCATGGTGAGTTGCCATATTGTAAAAAAATATTTCATTTCTATAGCCAAAATATTTTATATGATTTTTCTAATCAGCGCTTATCAATAATATTAATTAAAGTGGAATATATTCCACTTAATTAGGTGAGAAACCTAGAACACTGTGATTGTATGGTAATTTCTGCCACCTTCGGTTTTAAGTTATTTAAATGCAAAAACAAGACCCACTCTATCCTTCTTCGCATAACCTATTTTCTTAGTTCCAACACAATACATTGAAAGAGTAGTGGTAATAAAAAAAGTAATTTTTACTATTGCCCTATAAGAAATGAATGACCGAAACTAACACATACAAAATGATTTTACTAACACACATGCAACATTTTTTTTATAGAATTGTCGAAAAAAAAAAATTAATGGATGATTCCATCAACAATGACAGTCAAATGACCGGTAAAATGACCGTTACTGGACCCAATGTGTGGTATAGGGTTGAATTTGCATTTGAAAGAATGAAACAACTACATTTTGATTAATATGTATTACAATTTATATTTTCATCAACAATGACAGCCAAATGACCGATCAAATGACTGTCACTGTGTTACAGAGTTGTAATACATCTGCGATGGGTAGTCATCTTGACGTGATGCCATGCTGGAGGGAATGGCCATCACAAGTTGGCTATTCCTGGTAGGGTCACCCATTCCAGAGGGGTCTACTTTGAGCGCGAAACTAAGAACTACCCTCCCCCTGTCTGGTAGCGTCTGTTTCCCTATGGGACGGCTATCAGACGCTTTCCACGGCTATTCTCCCCTCACTGAGAGGGGTGGTCATGGAAAGCAAGTCCGGCTGGTTCTATGAACCATACACTTGAATGTGTAAAGTCCGTCTGAATCCACCAGCGTCTGTTCCCATATTGGGCGGCTGGTGGTCTGCGTCTGTTTCCCCTGTGGGGTCGGCAGTTTAACCTGGCAGAAGGTTAAAAATGCACCTGTCACTATGACAAAAATGGAAGAGAAGAAAGAATCATGCCCCGCGTACCCGGTCAGGGGCTTCATAATCTCCGGGGACCCTACTTCCACAGCGACGGTAATGGGCTGTGGAAAGTCGAATGCGACTGTTACCCAGACTAGTCAGGCGGCCACACCGGGTCAGGCTAGTTTGCGAGTTACCGGCGTCGCAGGAGGTCAGTTTGGTACACCCAGGCTGGCTGAATGTAAAAAATTCAAAACAATCCGTAGTTGTTCACCAAGTGGCGAGGTACCTCTGGACTTCTCAGCAAGTACCTCCAAAGCTGCTGCAGCCCAAACCGCCAAGACGGTTAAAAACCCTGCTTCGGGTACTGATGATAAGGGGTCGGCTAAGTCGTCTCTTACACCAGCTTCCCAAGTGCCAATTGTACCTCCAGGTTCAGTGACGGTATCCTCCTGTCCTGGGGATGTACCACCCCCTGCCAAGTCCGGCAATCAACAATCGACTCGGCACAAAAAACCCTCCAAGCGGGCGGCAACTACGAGGCGTTCCGCCTTTAGGATTATCGAGCTACTCGGGTCCAAACCACCCGGAGAACTCACCACGGAGCAATCAGCTTCCCTCCAATGGGCCAAGACCCAGATCGCTGGTAACGACAATGCTTCTCCTCCCGCCGAAGTGAAAACGGAAGCGGCGCCTAAACGGCAACGTTCAGAGGAGGAAGCAGCTTCTGCAAGCCAGCAATTAGGGACGAAACGTCCAAAACAAACGCAGAAGTCAATGACGCGCTCCTTCAGTGAGGTTGCTAAAGACAGCCTCGTTCGGGCCGTCATTGACCGAAGCGATGTTGACGGATCCATATCCCAGTCTAATTGGGATGTGGTGAAGCAAAAGCTAATGGGAGTGTTCTGGCAAGTTCTCAAAGAGAACCCAGGTACTCCTCCTCAATGCGATGACGCTGGATGGTTCCAGGGTCACGTTAAATTAATGACTTGTGCAGACGAACGCTCAGCATTGCTGCTCAAGTCTGCCATTTCGCTATTGGGTGAGGTATGGGGTGGATCTAAGCTTGATGTGGTGACTCCTGAGGAGATACCACGCAGGCCTCGATCCATCGCCAAAATACCGTCAGAACCCTCCACTCCCGAAGAGATCTTGGAGATCCTAAAGTGCTGCAACCCTCAGCTTCCAACTAATGACTGGAAAGTTGTAAGGGTTTCAGAGGCTGACGGACCTTCAAGACATGTGATCGTAGTCCTGAACAAGGAATCCTTGGAACCGCTGCGAGAAACAAAGGGGAAGGTCTATTACGGCTTCGGAACGATCTTCCTCCACGTTTATCGTAGCGATTCCAAGGGCGATCCCTCTCCGAAGGTGGAGGTAGATGATGAGGTGACCGTGCAGTCAATAGAAGGCACGGTTAGCAACACAACCTCTGATCCCTCCGAGAAAGATGATGCTCAGTCAGTCTCTGAATTGATGAGCAAACTCTCCACTCGGAAGGATGATGAGGTCGACGATGACGACCTTCTGGGGCTATCCCAGGAGATCGCCAACGTCGATGTTGTTACCCCAGGAGATGGTGAGATTGATTCAAATCAATCTACACCACTCTAAAGCAGCATCAGCTGCATTGCTCCTCCGAGTGGCGCAGAGAGGGGAGGAGCTAATAATGGTCCAAGAACCATGGATCCATCAGGATCGGGTTTGCGGACTACAACATAAGGACTATAAAATCCTGTATGTTAAAAGTTCAGGTAAAGTAAGGTCCTGTATTCTGGCCAAAAGCTCTCTTCACATCTTCATCTTATCTGATTTCAGTGATGAAGATACGGTCGCAGCCGCACTAGAACATGGCGGCACTACCACATGGCTGGTTTCTAGTTATATGGCCCATGATCACGGGGATTGTCCTCCCAATAACAATGTCCGTAGATTGGTAGATAAGGCGAATATGCACAATATCCCTGTCATCATATGTGCTGACGCTAACTCGCACCACAGTATTTGGGGTAGCAGCGACACTAACACAAGAGGTGAGCAACTTTTCAATTTCATTATTAGTAGAAATTTGGAAGTAGTAAATAGGGGTTCAGAACCCACTTTTATTGTATCTAACAGAAGAGAGGTACTAGACATAACGCTCGTGAGTGCTAAGCACCGCGTATGTATCACGCATTGGACCGTATCTAACGACTGTTCTTTGTCAGACCATCGATATATAGACTTTATGATTGGTAATATAAAAGGGAATATGAATAGTATTCTTAATAGAAGGAAGACGAATTGGAAAGTTCAACATAACCTGCTTTCCTCGTCTCTTATTTCGCTCCCTACTCTAGAAAGTACTGAGGACATTAACGCAGCAGTTCACACCCTAACGGATGCTTTCCGTATGGCGACCACAACTGCCTGTAAACCCTCCATCAAGAGAGGAAAATCCAAACCCTCATGGTGGAACACTGAAATAGCAAATGCTAGAAAAGTATGCCGTAAACTGTTCAACGAGGCAAAAAGGACCAATAACTGGATACCCTATAAGACCTCAGTGAATCGTTTCAAAAACTTGACTAGAAATGCGAAGAGGAAGGCGTGGAGGGACTTCTGCACGAACGTTGAAGGTTCCTCCGAGACCAACCGACTTCGCAAGATTCTGTCTACCTCACATGTTGTCCCGAGCTATATCCAAAGCCCTGTGGCAACTGGACTATGTCCTGCAGAGAATCCTTGGAAGTGCTGCTGGACACTCATTTTCCGGGATGTCAACCTCTTAATGAGGAGACGGTAGACCCGGTTCATTTAGCGCCTGATACTAGCTCTATAGTCATTAATAGAGAGAGAATCCAATGGGCGCTTAACAGTTTCGACCCATACAAATCTCCGGGTCCAGATGGTATTATACCTGCGGATCTTCAGAAGAATGAAGATCTCGTCACTCCATGGCTGCTATCGATCTATAAAGCATGCCTAAGGTTGCTATACATCCCTCCTATGTGGATGAGATATAATGTGGTCTTTATTCCTAAAGGGGGAAAGACATCACATACCAAACCAAAAGACTATAGACCAATCAGTCTTGCGTCTTTTCTTCTCAAGACTCTTGAAAGAGTCATTGATGTACACCTGAGATTAACCATCCCCACGGAATTGATCTCCAAATCACAACATGCCTATACCAAAGGCAAGTCTGTGGAAACGGCTCTACACTCGCTAGTGGGACATGTAGAAAGCTCACTAGCGAATAAGGAGTACTCTCTTGTTGCCTTCCTTGACATCGAAGGTGCCTTTAACAATGTCGAACCCTATGCCATTATAGACGCACTTGATGGACTAGGGGTTGATCATCAAACTCAGCAGCTTATTAAAAAACTTCTGAGTAACAGGGTCATAAGTGCAACGATGGGCGGAGTCAATGTCTCAAGACTTGCTAGTCGTGGCACACCACAGGGGGGAGTCCTTTCTCCCCTTCTCTGGAATGTGGCTATGAACTCCTTACTAAATGAACTGGATAAAAGGAGAATTAAGACTGTCGCTTATGCTGATGATGTCGCGGTAGTGGTATCTGGCAAATTCCTAGATACTATATCAAACTGCATGGAATCTGCTCTTAACTTGCTTAGCAAGTGGAGTGTTACCTGTGGCCTCAGTGTAAATCCACTGAAAACTGAACTTGTTCTTTTTACAAGGAAGTATAAGATTGAAAACTTTATGCCTCCAAAGTTAAACGGAATAAGACTCAATCTCACTGATCATGCGAAATACCTTGGAGTAATCCTTGACAGTAGACTATCCTGGAATATGAACATCCAAAACAGGATAAAAAAGGCAAATATAGCTATTTACACCTGCAAGAGGGCAGTTGGTTCAAACTGGGGCGTCAACCCTAAAGGTATCAACTGGATCTTCAAAGCGGTTGTTAAGCCCATACTATTCTATGGTGTTATTGTATGGTGGCAGGCATTGGAAAACGCTTCTCATTGTGCAGCCATCGAACGTACCTTACGAAATATTGCAATCCTGATCACGGGAGCAAATCAGATGGTTCAGTGAAACCACCTGTCTCAATTCGAGGTCAATTTGGCCTCTATACGATGCTCCCAGGTCAAGCTTACTATTAAGCTTTCGCAGGGAACAGATAAGAGTGCTGGTATCAGTCATAACGGGACACTGTACTATTGGCAATCACGCCAGAAGAATGGGTCTCGAATATAACGACTACTGTAGAAGTTGTAACAATGAGGAGGAAGAGGAAACAATACCTCACCTTCTCTGTAACTGCCCATCATTCAATGAAAGCAGAGAACAATGTTTCGGCCTTTCTGCTTTATCTTGTCTGGATGAGCTATCTGGGATATGTCTAAAGAATATCCTAAACTTTGTAAATCAAACTGGTTGGTTTAAAACTGGAAGTAGAGAGTGAAAATCAATTGAACTCCTACGACCACTAGGGTAACACAACGGGACCACAACTAGGTGGACCCAAGTGAGCCACTCATGTTTGATTGAGTGGCTGCCCTTCTTACCTAACCTAACCTACAGAGTTGTATTTTTCGTCGTTACAAATTAATAGTTTCTGCCAAAGTAAATTAATTATTAATATACTTTGGTTTCTGCGAAAGCCAAAGATCAAGAAGCGAAGAAATAAAAAAATTACAAAGTCTTTAAATTATTAAAAATAAAGAGAATTATTATAAACTAAATTTTAAAAAAGTGCAGGAAGTGGAGCAGAAGATAAACAATTCGGAGTTTAATCAATCAATGGTAACATAAATAAGTACTTATGATTTTTATATTTCGATATTTATGAATTTATGAATACTTATGCATTTCTTTACAGACAACTTATTTCCACAAATTAATAGGAGCATCAGAGGACTTAAGATTCTGCGAGATATGTAAAATGGTGAAAAGACTGGTAATTTATGTATATGATTACTGTATTAATAAAATTAACAATATATATATATATATATATTAAAATATCAATAAATTTTGTTTTATTATAAATTGATATAGCCGTCAGATTTGACGGATATATTCATCAAGTGTGATTAGTCAACAATGACCGATTAATGCATCATTTTTTTATTTGTTAACTGTGATGGATATATTCATCAAGCATGATTAGTCAATCATGACTAATATTTATATCATCCATGATTAATAAACAACAAAAGAGTGAGCAGCTCAAATATATGTTTTAAAGTTGATAGAATTCATAAGTGCGAGGGTGATGCAACATCACATGTACACAAATGTTTCCATCACTTTTTACATATTGCCCTTAAGAAAGTGATGGGAGCTTTGTTCTACGCAATGATGGGTATATTCTCAGTAGTGACAGTCAATTGACCGGTCAAATGACTGTCACTGTTCTTATAGGGTGGTTTCGCTTTTACGTCAAATATTTAACATTCTACCTCTATTCTAAAACATTTTAAGAATAAATTAATACTTTTTTGTTTATTCAAAATCGCTCAAGTGTTAATACTGTGTTATCTTTTGAAATCAAAGTGTATTAATTTACGGTGTGTGTAGGTACACAAATTGGATGTTAGTTACCACGATGTCAAAGTACACATGTAGAACATGTAACATGCCTCTTGTTTTTTGTAATTTCTACATTTGAAAAAATAATCAGCTGGACTTGTGTAGTCATTTTGAATAATAAACTTTGAATCGAAGTAAACAATGTCACCAAGCAACTTGTTATTGTTAAAAAATTTTGCATTTGTTTGTGAAATTAAACAATTTCCCTGACATTCTGGAAAAATAAATATCAACTAAAAACCTCATGGAAAAAATGAGTTTAAACCTTATTGAAATTTGTGAAAAATTGCAGTTGCAAGACCGTAGAGCCAAAATCTCTACATTGGGATTTTTGCAACAAAAGTGTTTGGATGCGAAAGATACTGCCGATTCAGAGATACTGCAATTATTCGATGAAACCTATTTGCACTTGCTGAAATGCTACAGCGATCGCTTTGAGAGTGTACGCGATCAGGCCGTACAAACTGTCAACATGTTTTTCGAGCGTTTGCCACCAAATGATTTCCATTTAGTTAATATTGTTTCTACTTTGGTGGAGCGCATGGGTCAGCATGAAACTCTTGAGGAAAGTGAAGAAATTCGTTTGGTCTTTATACAGCAATTGTTAAAAGTAGAAAATCGTTTTATAGCGACCGGCAATAAAGACAGTCTGCAGGATTGTTATGAAGACATTGTTCGTATTATTGTAAAAGCTTTAAATGACCCATATCCAGCTGTTCAGAAAGAGGCCTGCACATGTGTTGCTGTATTAGCTGCATCGGCAGATAGTTGTGCATTTAAGCCGTTTTCGGAACGTTTGGCTAAAGCTCTCTATGGAATGTTAAATCACAAGCACTCTCAGTCTCGTATTGCGGCTGTTAATGCATTGGGTTTTGTCGCCTTACATATAGATGCCAGTGGTGATGCTTTGTCAAGTTTGATTATGGAAGTATCACCACTTCTGATGGATTCTATGCCTCTGGTAAGGAGAGAATGTGGTGAGTTAGGCGTACGTTTGTTATTGGAATTACGTGATCGTTATTCGTACTTTGAAAGACTTATTCCATTGGTTTTATGTTGGTAAGTGTATAAGAAAGGTATTAATAATATATATACATACATACATAGTTATAGCGTTACATAAATTATTTTATATATCGACGCCTCGAAACTATAACGTTATAAGTGCGTTTCTCTATGGTTATAAGTATACTAAGAAATTTTTTAATTTATTAACACTCAAAATTTGTATTTAATACGACAATCAGTTCAGAAGTTGTTGGAAAAAATTTACATATCGACACATATTGATATATGTATTAAAATCTTATACTTTGGGAGTTTCTTCCGAAAAACTGAGTTCTATTAGTTAACTGGTTTCTATGTTTTTTAATTTCATTGGGGTGCAGCTAATTGTATATGTAATGTCAAAATACGGTTTATGAAGAAAAATGTATATAGCATATAATGAATTCCATGAGAAATGGTCTTCAGATTTCTTTAATTTTTTTGTAAACACATACTCTATTAGACATATAAGACATATCAAAATTAAATTCTTAAAAAATCCAAAAAACGCGAGTTTTATTGCGATTTTAATTTGTTCTAAAACTACAAAAAATCAAAAAGGTATAAAACTTTAAAGGTTCATGTCTTTGAGAGTTTATATCGGATTTCGTTGATTTAAAACACAATCTAATACTATGGCTGTGCTCTTTCATTCTAATATAATTTTTATATTAAAAAGTTTAAGATAGTGCATTTTTTATGGAAATGCACTTTTTGAATGCATTTTTGAAATCGTTCTCTCTGTTTAAAATTTTTTAAAAGTGCTTTAATCTATTATGAATCTTTTTATGCAAAATATTTTCGATTTTTTAAAATGTTCTATATTAGGAAATTTTTCAATTTTATTGATATTTTATGCATTTACAGAATTTAAAACTCGATTACCACTAATATACACTTTCATCAAAATGCATTTCAAAAAAATATTTTTTAAGGTAAATGCATTTTTGATGCATAATATATCAATAATATTTAAAAATTTCCCAATATAAAACATTTTAAAAAATCTTAAAAATTAGATATACTGAACGTCACAAAAAAATATTTTTATATTTTGCATAAAGAGCTTCAAATAATCGATTAAAAATTTTAAACAGGGAGAACGATTTCAAAAATGCATTCAAAAAGTGCATTTCCATAAAAAAATGCACTATCTTAAACTTTTTAATATAAAAATTATATTAGAATGAAAGAGCACAGCCATAGTATTAGATTGTGTTTTAAATCAACAAAATCCGATATAAACTCTCAAAGATATGAATATTCAAAGTTTTATACCTTTTTAATTTTTTGTAGTTTTCGAACAAATTAAAACCGCCACAAAAATGGCGTTTCTTCAAATTTTTCAAAATAAAAAACAGAGTTTTATATTCTACATAAAGAACATATATTGATAATATGAAGGAAATTGAAAGACATGAGGTCAAAAATTGTCAGTTTTTCTGTGTTCTTTCCTGGAATTCATGATATATATAATGGTTTAAAAAATGTTTAAACTCTGAGAGGTTAAAACTCAAAATTCACTTTTTCGACACAGAAAGTTTAAGTTTGGCCGTATTGTGATTTCAACGGACAGGCGGAAAAAATACATTGCAGTTCTCTATCAGCAATTTAAAATCCAGAGTTTTTTGAAATGGGTCTCAAAAAAATTCCTTAAAATTAATTTTAGTGGACTTTGATATTATTTCGCTTTTTGCGATAATCTCAAAATTAGAGAATTTTTAAGACTCATCCCTGAGGACATTATAAAATCGTATGAGAGGTGTTTAAAAAGAAATTTCACAAATTTTTGACAGAAAAATTAATTAAGATGAGTCTGAACACAAATTAATTATTAAAATACTCAGACCTAAAACATTTTCTTTATTTTCCACTTTTAGTTTAAAAGATGATTCACCTGAAGTACAATCATACATTTTGCCATTGTGGGAAAAATGTGGTAAACAATATTATGATGAAAACGAGACAGAGTTGAGCAAACAGGAAATAGCCGATATAATACCCCCAAACTATCCACCAAATATAAAGCGTCCAACAATCGGTTGTCGTGGTATAGTTCAGCGTTCACTACGTCTATTAAAATTAATAATGAGAGAATCGACAGATTGGAAAGAAAATGTTCGTTTACATTCACTAAAATTATTGTATCAATTTGTTCTGCATGCCGAAAGATCTATGACGGCTAAATTCTTTGAGATTTATGAAGATGTTGCTAGAGCGACGAGAGATGCTGAGCCAACAGTGGTGGAAGAAGCCTTCAAAGTGTCTGACTTAATGGGCCGCCTTTTAAATTATGATGATTGGTATGAACATGGCTTCGATGGTTTAGAAAGAAATGCCAAAGAAGGTTTTTTAAAGTGTTTTTATTACATGTATACTCCAGCTTTGGGTGTAAAATTTGAGCATAATTTGCGTTTATCTAAAATGCTCGTACAACCGGAATTTTCTCAAACTTTAAAATGTAATTTCCAGTTGTATGTCTTAAAAATGGTTGATACAATATTAGAGAAATGTAAAAGTGCAGATAGTGAGCAGAAGGATACTATTGATTTGTATAAAAATTGTTATTGCGCTACAATTAAAATAATGTCTTTATCTTTCGAATCTGAACAAACAAACTCTGAGGAATTGCAAACTAAAGCTTTGAACATATTAGATAACATTTCCGAATGCCGTAAGTGCAATTTAGATGATTTGCACGAACAATTCTTTATCTACGCCTTAGAGTCAGTTCAAGACATTGATGCACAGCTAGATGCTTTGAGTGAACCTATTTTACTTTTATATGGACTAATAAAACTGGCAAAATTTCGTCAAACATATTTAAAACAATTGCAACAAAAGATCAATGTAGTATTTGAACATTGTGCCGACGAGTCAAAAGTGAAAATATTAAGTGCTGTATCCATTGCAATGTTAGATTGGAACAAGACGATGCGTAGATCTCTAACAGAAAGTTGCGAACTTCTAAAGGAGTTTGTGCTATCAGTAGTGGAACCTCATCTTATTTGGAAAGTCGGAGCAAATGCCGAAGCAATGCGTTCTTTAGCTACCGCAACATTATGTTCTCTGTCACAAGGTGCAGCAGAAGAGGCCACACATGTTTTACCACATTTTGCTAAATACTTCCCAGCACTCTTGGAAGATCAATGTGTTTCTACACGGCACTATGCCTTAAAATCTCTATACAATTTTGGTGAGGTTGATATTGAACATTTAAAACCTATTGCTTATGGTTAGTTTAAACATGAATTGTTAAGAATTTCTTATACAACTTGTTTTCATTTGTAGCTTGTTTACAGCGTTTAGACGATCCTTCGGCTGGAATACGTATATTAGCAGCTTCAGTAGTTCCGCAACTAAAATGTACTGAACAGGACAAGAGCAGTGGTAATGGAGACAGTGAAAATAATAAAAGCAACTGCTATGAAAGTGAAGTTTGGTTGTCCTTTGTTGAAAATTGTTTCGATTTATTATTTTTACATTACGATACTCCAGAAGAACGTCTACAGGCGGCCATTAAAAGTAAATAAAATATTAGTATATGCTAAATACTTTTAGGAATTCCTTTCAAACTATGTGTATTGATGTGCTGAACATTTTGTTGTATTAGCTTTACTAGTTAAAAGGGAGGCACTATATTTTTCTAATATTAGTTGTACATTTTTCATATTGTATTATTGGTGAACATTCTTCTGTTTTAAAAACTATAAAATGATATTTTTAAAATTTCGAAATCAATATGCATCATTTAAGAGAAATTTTGATTTCAGATAAAAAAAATATTTTACGAAACTCTACTAATAATCTATTTTTCTCTTACAGATACAATAATTGTGTTGGGCAAACGCCATCCAAAAATGTTAATGGACTCTTACCAACGCACCTTGGCTGCTACACACAATTGTTATAATTTAAAAGAACTTGAAAAGCAGTTGCCATTAAATTAGATTTTCTTGATTTTATTCTTCTACTCTTCTATGTTTAAACTATAGTTTATTTTAAAATAAATTTAATTTTAACAAACAAGTTGTGTATGATTCCTTCCCTCTCTACCACATTGCTCTTTGGACGCCCGACAATTTATTGTAGTCAGCTAGATGACGCCAGACAATACGACTCAAACGGTATTTGTGAACAACACCGCGGGAACGTGACGTAAGGGCACAACGTTCGCGCACACGAACTAAACAAGAATCTCTGGGAAAGGCGGCTATTTCAGCATCAGCTACTTCTCTCAATTCGGCAGGAAGTATATCATTTTTACGTAGGGCATTAACACGTAAGCGATCCTTGGCATTTTCAGCTACACATTTACGGCGTTTAACATCCCTAATCATTTTCCAATCGGCATATTTGGTACGAACTTGTTGGAACTGTAAGTTTGTCAGTGTAAAATTAAATTAACATTTTTAAATTATAAATGAGAACTTACACCGCATCCGGCAAATTGTATGGATTGGCTGACAAAACTTCCAACACGGGTCAAAGAATTCATTTTGCTCCTTGAAACTATTCTGTTTTTGCTGTTCCTAGTTAAAATTTCAAAAACAATAAGAAATAAAATTGAGGTTAGTTTTATCAAACAGCTGATTGGTTTTCAGTGTTGGTTAACGTAAAATATTAAATGTTAATTTATTTCTGTTTTTAATAATTAGTGGAATGGTACACAAAATATGCAGATATGTATCATTAATTGAATTAATTAATTTGTACATTCACTACTTTGACTAAATACATTTTATATAAAAATATTTAATTACTGTTCAGTTGTGTATTGTTTTTCGTTTAAATGTCAAATATATATTTTTGCATTTTGACGTTTCTCTCGTCATTCGTGCATGTGCATATTTTCCGTCGTTGGTATTGGTTAATTTTAGAGGTGTTTTTCATTGTATGTGTGTGTATTTTGTGTGATTCGTTTTTCAATCATTTTCCAACTTTGAGGAAACCTCGATTTGCTCGTGGTTTCCACGGTACAATAGATATAAAGAAAAAAATATTGAAATATATAGTGAAAAAATATAAGAAATCCAGCGGAAAATTCTTACGCTATTAAAACAGGAGTGCACACTAGCTATTAATAATCGCAAATATATTTTTAAAGAAATTAACAAAGTGGTGGTGGTCAAACACATCAAATAAAAGCGTGCTTTATAATACAACCAACGTTCGCAGTAGTCACAGCAGTCAGCAGTGTAACCGGTGTTTGTGAAAAAAGCAGCAAAAGATTATCAATAAATAGACCAGGAAAAAAGAACAAAATGCCTTCCAGCAATCCACTGCCTCCCAAAGAGAGTGCGCTCTTTAGGAAATTAATGGTAAATTATTTTATTAAATGATAAAATATCTCAAAATTAAACACACGTACCCCATACCTTGTATATGTGCCCAATATTCGTACCTCTCTACATACATATAGCAAATATTTTGTTTTGTAAGATTAACTTTTGAAATATTAATTTTCTGCGGTAGATACCATCGAAAATGAAGCAAAAAATTAATTTATTTCTATAAAATAAGCTGCTGTTAATAGGAAAATCAGTTTTTGTTATTTATTTTCGATTTTAACAAATAGTGATTTATTTGCAAATTCATTTCAACATAACCTCAAAGTTGAGGGTGCTACCTAACTTGGCCCCCAATAGTGAAACCAAAAATTACTTAAACATTGTACAAACACGAATGTATACTACATATCAATATACAAATCATATTTATATACATTTTTATTTGTTATTGATGTTAACGATAATGAAGATTATGGTGATATATGTATATTCCAAATGTACCTATAATAAGGACAAAATTAATAAAAACGTTGTGGTATAGAAAAGCTGGTGGGTAAAAATGTACACTTTATGACATGTATTTTAAAATCTACTTGTTAATGATTTAGAAGATGTAAAAAAAAATAAATGTTTTAGTTATAAGGGTGCCTATTAAATATAAGTAAATATAGATTCCCTAATACTTAGATATTATAGCCATTCTTTATTACTTATTACCAGTTGTTACAATTGTTCTCGTTTTTTATTTCTTTTGCGAAGAATATTGCCGATAATCCATTACTTATCTCTAGTTTAGTAAACGCTATACAGGCAAAGAAGCCAGTAAAACTTGCTTTAAATCTACAATGTTCTATTTATAGAAATTCAAATCAAGACGAATGTTGTCAAGAAACAAACAGGTGCATATTGCTAAAGATGCAAAAAGATGTCATGAATCTTTTAATGACTAAAACAAGTAGGAAAGTTTGCTGGAGCTTGGCCGATTATAAAGTAACCTACATCAGCTTAGAGTATGTATGTGTAATTCAATTTTCAGAAGGAATAGGATGCATGGATTAATTATGGATAGACGCTTCAAAAAATGTCAGTTAACATGAAATCTTTTACAAAATTTCTAAAAAGACTAGACATTTTTATGAAACTTTTTTAATTCAATAAGAGCGATATTCTTTCAGAAAAAATCCCGTAAGAATTCGGATGACTTTAAAAATATTAATTCTTAATTTTATAAATTTCCGAATTTGTTACAAACATCGGCACAGACGCGTATACTCTTCCCACTATTATAGTGTATGGTGTAAAAACTCAACGAAGAAATATAAAAAACAATAAATTTTACTAGTTTTGTTTTTTTTTTTACATATGCACTTAACTAATTTTTTTTTAATTTTGATTAAAAATAAGAGCATTAGCATTATAACATGTAGTACTAGCATACCCTGGGTGCTTCGCTACCCTTACTTAAATTAAATACATACAAAATTTTGTTTACTTTTATAGAAAATTAAAATTGATTAAACATTTTTTTAATGTTTCAGTTTTATAAGTTCAATAATACGTGATTAAATTCGCATTCAGTTAGAAGCTTGTATTTTTAGTTTTATTCATTTAGCTTCCACAATATGGAAAATTTCGAAAGTACTATTTGAAAAATGTACTATAAAATACCTCCAATAGATTATCATTTAATCAAAAATTTTATGTTTCTGTGTTCAATATTATATACAATTCAAAAAAAAAAAAAAATAATTTTAATGAATGAAAAAGTACCAAAAGTTCCTTTCAGTAGATTCTCATTCACTAAGGTCCCTACATTTTAAATTTTATTTTCAATATCTATGTTCAATGTCGTAAAAATATCAAAAAGTACCATCGGAAAAACGAAAAAGTACAAAAATCTCTCTCAATAAATTCTCATTTAATAAGGACCGTGTGTTCCGGTTAACCATTATAAAGAATCTAAAAGGTACCATTTGAAGAATAGAAAAGTACCAAATAGTTCCCACTTACAGAATATTATTCAGTCAAGGCCATGTATGTTAAAATTAATGTTCCTAGGTTGAATATTTTACAAAATTTAAAAAGTACCATTTATGAGATAAGAAGTACTAAAAAGTTCTCTCTTAAAGAATCTTATTCAATGAGTTCATATTAAAGAACATACAAAGAGAATCATTTGAAGAAAGAAAAAGTACCAAAAGTGGAATAAAATTTACCTAAGTGGAAAGTACTAATAAAGAATACAATTTTTCCCCTTTTGGCTTAGAAATATACTTTTTCGAGAATTAAGTTTACAAAATGTTCCATATTTAAATCTATATATCACAGATAAAACTTACTGTGATATATATATTTCTCATTTGTTCCAGAAAAATAGTGCTTTCAAAAAGTGCCAAACAATTTACTCGAATTTGGTCCTATATAGTACTTAGTACTATAGACTTAGTACTCGAATTCCAAAATAATATACCAACAGCTTATTTTGTGTGAGTAAATAAACTACTTTTTCAAATTTTATAAAAATTGGCACAATGAGTTTGAATAAAATTAAATTTCCCGTTTTTTTCCTTTTTGTTACTTTTTTCCCCAGTGAAATAGCAAAAATTTTATTACAATAAATATTACAGAGTTAGTCCGTAATTTAATAGGAATAATTCAATAAACCGAAAAAGTTTTCTTAATGTTCTAAAAAAAGTACAAAAAATACAGTTTTCTCCCTTTTACACCCAAAAAGGACTGAATTTTAAAAAAGTGCGAAACAGGTGTCTCATAATTTTGGGAGATGTATACAAAATATTTATAAAAATTTTATTATGTTAATTAGTTCAAAAGTTATAAGGGGCCAAAAAACAAATCACCTTTGTTACACATTTTTACAGCTTAAAAGTACGAATTTCATAAAAGTACCAGACAGCCATCTGCTCATTTTAAGAGTAGATACAGGTGCATTTAGAATTTTACTTATATCACTAATATTGTGTAAGATAATTAAGAAAACCTGTTTTACCCGTTTTTCCCCCTTTTTACGCGTAAATGTACAAATTTTCAAAAATCCCTCCTTAGTGGATCTACATAACCAAAAACACATCTACTGTCAAAATTTCATGATTCTAGGTTCAGCCGTTTGGGCTGTGCGATGATGAATCTGTCAGTCAGTAACGCTACTCTTTTATATATATAGATTGGGCCAATAATAAGAGCAGCCTTTGTAAGAAACATCTAGGATAGTTATTTAAATAGACTACACAGCGATTGTGGTTTTATGTTTGTAACGACTAAAAATAATTTTCCTTTCTATCTTTTAATCAAGTAACCTGTTTAATACATTTGGCTATAAAAATTTATTTTTAAATATTCCTTTTGAATTGGGTCTCTTGCAATTGTTTAGTTTTGTAATGATTAGTCCAACAATTTTCGAAGCTCCCATATAAGGCCCTTTCAAAAAATTAATAATCGATTTTTATTTATTTATTTCATTTATTTGTAATACAAAGCCTACAAAGGCCAAAATATTGATATTACACAGTAAATAACGCCTGCGATCATATAAAAATATATAAATACTATTATATATAAATAAAATATACAAATCTACATACTTAAATACAAATTTAAATTCAAAATAGAAATACTTATATTAAGTCCCTTCTATAGAATATTCAGATTCTCATATCAATTTAACCTTCACTTTGAGATAAAAATGGTCCACGCAGCAACCGATTCCTTTAAATAGTAATTATGGAAAAAAATAAATTCCAGAATTAAAAAATTGTAACAGTTTTAGTTTAAAAACATTATTAGATTGGGGGAAAGTGCGTAAATAATAGGGTAAAACGTTCCACCACCTTGCAATGCGAACTAAAAAAGATTTTTCCAAGAAAGACGAAGATAATATTTGTGGGTTTCTTATAGATCGCGTAAACATAAAAGAGAAATACAAGGGAAGATTTTTTCGATCAACTACCATTTTAAAGTAGATTGTTTGAACCAAAAATCAAATTTTTGTTCGATTACGATACTATTAAGGAATTTTGAATATATGTTTTACAAAAACAAGTTGTATTCGCCTATACCGAAACTAAAATACCAACGATCAAATTGTGTGTAGCAAGTCTAAAATAAGTTTCAGAACATAGATCATCATGGAATACGATGTATTCATGTATTAGCTTCTATTATCATGTGAAGCATGGAGACAAATAAGCGAGTAAGACAATTTTTCACACTGGTCGGTTTGAAATTAAACGATGTTCGGAAGAGAACCACTAATGGGCGACTTGGAACAATTACGGACTTAACTCCGCAGAATTTAACAATGACAAATATCTTAACCTATTAGTGGACATGAGTTTCATAATGCACTCAAATTAGTGTAATGTCTACCTATTAGTGGACATGAGTTTCATATAGCAATAAAGTTTAAAA